TACGGTGATGAAGATGATGAGAAATAGAGTTGTTGGTTAGGAACCATCTACGTTTATCGCACAATACTCGTTGCCCAAACTGGGAATTCCCGCAGAACATCTCCACCACTTTTAAGGCAATGTTCCAACATCACTTTGTGAACTATAAGCTCTGATGCCTAAAGCTGAAAAAGTATAGTTTGCATCGCAGATTCCCTATAATATCATGGAAAAGCAACTTAAAAGAAGCAAAAATATTGTATTCGTTACCACAAATACTTGCCTTTGTAATCATAAAAAAGAGATACGGATTTTCGTTTGCCATCCATTATATTTAAATCCATTCGTGGTGTAGAATACTTATATGAATACTTATATGAGCATGAGAAAATGTCTACATTTTTTGCTGAAATGGGCGACCGGATTAAATTTTTATGAACATGATCTTCAATACTTGCAGTTTCATGAAATTTTTCAAAATTTGTTAAAAAAATCTTCGCCGGCATCATGAGTTTAAAAATAATGGTCTTACTCAATATCTTCTCTTTCGCATTCATTCTTTTACATTGATGATATTTGAAATAAAAATCAAATCCTATATGAGCTGCAAACAGTGCACGGGGACACTACTTACATTTAAAAGTTTCAGTGAACATTCATATACGCAAGGTGCACAATACAATATTTACGTAAATATAAAATTTGTAGTCTATATGTGAAACTAATAAGACAAAACGGCAGAAGCAAATATCAACATATGTTAAAAGCTTTTATCCCGAAAAAAGACGTAGCGGAACTAAGTGGATATAAAACAAATTTTAAAAAACAAACAGAATGAAAATGAAATGATTCTAAACAAATTAAACACATGGCTAGCAACATTGTATTTTTTCGTATAGCTTTGCAAAATGTAACAACGTTGATATAACACTACTTCGAAGAAAGTGTAAAATAATATATATATAACACTTGTAAACTGGAAAATTTGTACCGTTTTGCTCCAAATTCAGAGACACAATAGCATTTGTTTGTTAGGCTTTTCAATTCGATTGTTTTTGGAAAAAAGAAGTAACACACTTTATTTTTAACATTTTAAATGACTTTATTAAATTAAGAAATATGATTTAAATAGTATCTAACTATACGTGAAAGAATTCCTAAAAAATACAGTAGTCAGTCGGAGCCAAGGCTATGGCAGCGTGTACTTCAAATGACGTATTGGGGGGATGACCAACAAGAATCAACCTCAATCCTTATGAAGTGGTGAGTAGTTGAGAGCATCAGCATCAGTTGTCGTTGTTAAGTATTTTACAATAACAACAAGACCATGCTATGGTGTAAACTCAAAAAAGACCCGGATATGGTGTAATTAATCAAACAAATCTCCTCGTACGTTCATCAAAATAACATTTTTGTTTTAAGGAAAATTAAAAGAAAAAAAATGAGAAATTGTAAGGAGTTTGTGCAAAAAGTAAAAAAGCAGGAAAATATAAACTTAAAAATATATAGAAAATAAAAGCCTTGTGACTTTCTAATTTTGTCTAACTTATTGGAATTTCCGTGCATAAGCCTTGATGTTATGAATTTTTTTCCATTTTAACTTCCTTTTGAGTTACATGCTCAAGTTGTTTATGTTTTCTCCAACGAAAGCGTAACACCTGTAAAACCTGACGCAAAATTCTGATTGAAATCGTATGATTTCATTAAAATTTTGAAAATAAACAAGGTGAGTTAACTTACTTAAAACAAAGAAAGTAAATTGGAAATGAGATTAAAAGAAAAAGGTCTACAATTAGTTTGGCATGCTGGAGCGTTTGTGCCCGTTTTTTTTTTTTTTTTTTATTGAAAAAATCACGTAAAATTCTAAAGGTCTATAAAGCAGTGATAAATTAGATTTTAGAAGCAAAGTTTCTCTTAACATTTTTTATGATGGAAATCATTTCAGAACAAATTTCCAATTCAACTATTTTTACGGAGAAAAAAAAAATAAAAAAAATATTCATTCTCTCTTCTTAGATAATCTGCACCTACGCGTTCTTACTATTATCGGCCGAGAATACACTAAGACGGGTTTATGCCAGGTATGAGAGAAGAGAATCTTTAAATATCGTGATAACGTCCTTCATTTTTGACATTTACTTCTATCATTCGTAGTATTGGATCGTAGCCGATTACTTGCAATGCCGTTAAACTTTACTTGTGTCGGTTATACCAGTATTTTTGCATGAAAGCTTTTACCTTTATCGCGTTTTCACTACTGGTTTGGCTTAGTTGTGATTACTTATATTGAAATACTACATAACCGTTAATTTAATTTTAACTAAAAGTTTTTTTTTTACTTTTGCTATGTAATAATAAATACAATTTTAGTAAATGTTCAATACAAAATGGAATGTTTATTTTACATAATTCTTCGTACGTAGAAATATGTGAACGAGAAAAAAACCGAGTTGATTCGGTCTACAGTTGTCTTAAAAGTTTTAAGTTGCTCTTGTGTAGTAACTTGCACTTGATTTCAAACGTACTACATAGATCTAGGTTAAGATTATAGCTTTCAATTTTAATTTTTTAACGATTCTGGAGTCTGAAGGGCGTCGACAAGTCGGTCGGCCGACCAACCTGATGAGGTCAACCTGGACGTAGATAGTAATAATACGGATTTGTAAATATTTTGATCCAATTTAATTCAATTTTAAAACCCTTAAGCGTCAAACCTCCCGCATGTCCCGCACATATGTATTTCTGCGCGTCTCTTTATTTCGAGTGAATATGGCTGATAAGAGTGAGTAATAATATATCCCCAATTTTTTTTGCTTTCATTTTATTTCTAATCTTTAAAAAATTGACATGTAATGGAGTAAATCGACTGTTTTTATAATAGTAATGAAGAGACGTAGTCGTAATTAAATCTATGTTTACATGTATTTGATAAAACGCGTAAAATGATCTGACGAGATAAGACGACGGCTTCAGGCATTGGGACAGTGAATATTTCCCTGCTTATAGCTGCATATATGTTATGGACTTTGACGTTTTGTCCTACTCTTTACTTGTATCGGTTATTCAGGTCGAATTTTGCATCACGTAGCTAAGGATTGCTCCTGTTATAACTGTTATATTCAATGTAATTCTGTTCTGCAAAGCGGCGAATCTACTGCATCTGCATCAAGTAGTTTTTAGTAGTTGTCAATGGCCCTAAAAAAAGTTAAAATGGCGTTTTATTATTCTGCTTTAATACCTGAGTTTTCACATTCGTTATGGCAGCCTATTCAGAAAATTTATATGCAGTAACGACTTTGTATATGATGTTGTGTACAGAATGACAGCATCACCCTTTTTTCGTTGTTCGGTGCCGCTGGTTCCAAGTTTTATGACCCTTTTCGAATGGTTTGGTTAGTGTGTGGTTCCCTTTATATTTTTTGATACAAAGTAGCGTATCTATCAAAATTTTACTATATATCTGTAATTATTATAGATTTCAGCAATAAAGCATAATGTGAAGATTGTAGATTATGCCAGAGAAAAAAATTATATATATTTGTGGATCAATGTCTGATCAACACTAGACTTACGTCAATTTGACGGGAAAATTTTGTAAATCGTCATAGTCGAAAAAATGGAGATAGGAAGTTGACACATTTCTTGGCATAAACATTTCTTGATCGATAAAGAATATATCTCGGAAAACGATGATAATTTTTTCAAATTTTCCTCCATAACATTCGATCATGTATTTTTGGAAATGCGCTATCCAAATATTCGCTAGAACCAAATCTGCCTATCGAAAAATCAAGGTTGTAACATTTCGTACTATTCACTAAACGTAATCAATGTAAAGAAGACTTATTCGTGCCGAACTCCCGATAGAATGGAATAAATTCACCAACAAGTTGAACTTAAAGGATAAGCGCTTCGATTTTCACTTTTTTATGATTGTGATTAATTTTTAAACAATTCCTCAATTTCTAAATAGTATAGTAGAATAACAAAAGTATGGCAGAAAACGGCATGACCAAATGCTTGTTTGGCCTACATATTATACCAAAATGTCCGATCAATTTGAAGCATTCATTTATAAAACCCGCGCGTTTTTTTATATGATGCTTACCAGCCATAAATAGAAGCTTCTTCATATTTCAGTTTAACCTAAAAATGTGAACAGTTTAGAAATATAAGTGATTTTGCAGTACACTTTATATTAAGGCAAATTTTCTGCATTTTACTTTATATTTTGCTACTTTGAATAGATATTATCTCAAGACGTGCAAACTGTGAAGCTGCAATAAACTGAAAACAGTGAATCATTTTTTATATATGTTATCTTTGCTTCCATTTGGCGATATTTTTACAAAGTTTGGGAAAACTTTACTTGTTAATTTTGATAATCACAAAATAATGTTTTAATTTTCGTGCGATGACTTTTTCTGCTATGCGCAAATACGCACAAAAAATTACTTTACTGTAATATCCATGCTTTTATTTAGTTTTTCTTACCACAATGTTACCGGATCCTTTCAAAAATTGAAATAAAATTTTATATTATTTTTTGTTGATAAAAATATATTTCTTTAAAGTGATGCACATTCAAGCTCATAGTTAGGATCCTTTCATAATAATCACATAGCTGACAGTTGTCAAATTCATAGAAACTAATAATCTTGTTTCTTTTGTTCAAATCAAATTGAAGTTTGATAACAAGAGATATAATTTTATTAATGAATGTTTGTAGAAAGATCTCTTTTGTAAATTATGGTTAAAAACAGTTTTATTTTCATCTCCTTCTTCATTCTTTTATTTAAATATTAATCCAGACTTTAAATAGTCTAAGGGCAAATGAATTTATAAACACATAAATGTTTGTCTATCTTTTCTAACGTCTAAAATGAATTAAAAGAGAATTGATAAAAAGAATGTGTCAAGAAAAATTATGTTTTCTGGCAACATTGTTGAGAAATCAACCTCAACCCCCCTCGAATAAAGAACAAAGTGGAAAGAAATGTTTTTCTATAAAAACTCATCAACCCCAATCGTCGTCTTCCATCGTCGTGCTGTTCGCTGTAAACGAGAAATTTTCATTTTGCGTGAAAATGCAATTTTTTTCTCAGCGGTATTTGTGAATAATTTATTAAAATAAAATTAATTAAACGCGTACAATGTGAGTGCAGTGACCGAAATTCGCAGAGTTTTGTGTAATAAGAAATAAATTGTCAACAAAATTTACACGCAGGTGCGTACCCGCACGCAGACGTGACAGACGGGAATTGAACTGGGCCTGCTTGCTCCCTGAAAGAATTGCAAGTTTTATGTGCATTGAAAAAAAAAAAGAAAAGAGCATTGAAATTATTTTTCTTTTAATGCGAAATGCATGTCTGTTACAAAGCATCCCATTAGTTTTTTAGTTTATTATCGAAACTCTCGTGTGAACTCGTTCAATTAGAGCATTCTATGATCATTGCCAATTGGTCAATATGTAAATTTTCAGTCTGTTACCTTTACTTCATATTCGTTGTTTGGAAAATCGAAAGATTTTAGTGTGTATCTATTAATTGTGTACGAGTGTGTGCGGCGATGGATTATTTGCCTGCAGAATGGGGTGATTTGGAGCGCTCGTTCCTCTTATATATTGTATATTTATTATTGAAATACATAGTTGCCAATGATTATCCTATTAAAGCTGATATAAGCTGATTTAATTTTCGTTAGTGCGTGCTTGTGTGTGAATTGTGTAATTGTTTACTTCGTTTTTTAGCATTTTCTCTTGTTTTTTTTTTTTAATATTTTTTTGAATTTCCTTCTTTTTTTTTTTATTTGCAAAATATCTCAATTGAAATTTGTTTTATTAGATAACAAATCGAATTATTATTGATTGCCGTTTATTTTGTGATTGTTGCTTTAAAGATTCGACCGTCAGTCGCGACATCTTTCGATAAGCAATAGTATATGTTAGTTTCTTTGATTGCTTGTCACTATTACCGCGATTGTCGCTATTTTACTGACTCTGGTTGTAATAAATAACCACAAAGATTGTTAGCTTAACTGAATGTGTGAATGGATGACACAAATTATTGTTGATGCGCGACTCTTCCGGCGCTATTACCGCACACAGTCATTGCGAATGTCTCGAAATCATGCATGCTCAATGCGGGAGTTCACTCCGTCAATTCATTTCATTATTATTTTGCATGTGTTATACGACCGCTGTTGTTCTTGTTATTATAATTTCTGCTTTCGCGCTGTTGTCGGCTTTAGATGACGGTCATAGACTAATACAGCGCTCACTTGTCTGGTTTGTTTCTTTTCTTTCTTTTTTTTTTTTTTTTCTTGTTAATACTATGTAGCGCAAGTGTTTTGTTTACATTTTACAAAAACGTTTTGGTGGGCGTCTACACCATTTAACGCAAATACTAGCTGTAAACTAAATATGGATTGAAACATGACAAAAAAAAAAAAAAAAAAAAAATGTGGACGTACCCGTCTTCGAATGTAATCAATTGTTTACTAAACCGAATACTTTAACTTCAGCTGAAGGCTATACGGATACAGTAACATGAATAATATTAATATTATTGTCCTAATGATGATGAATTCTAAACAACATGTAATTTATCCGTATTTTCCCAACCAACGGAACGCTTAATTAGGTAGTCTTGGGACGCTTATAATCCCCGCGCGTAATGATTCATGCCTATGTTGTACAGTATTGTTATACTGTTCAATATTTATAACTCAGAATAAGGAGAATTGTTATTATATGAAAGAAATATGAGATGTGTTTATATTGAGTGTAACGTTTAACTTGTTCCCCTGTCAGATAATTTGTAAATATCAAATTTAAGTTCTTTTATTTAAATAAAAAATACCGGCACTATCGATCCAAATGCGCTGAATTCAGTGCATGTGTCGCGGTGTGGTTTGTTTTTCCTCTTCATTTCATTGTTTATGAATTATTATCGTAAAGCGTGTCATTGTTTTGCGATCTGATGCATCGCATTTCTTTCTAATCTCAATTAATGGCATTCTTTGCCAGCTTTTTCACCGGAGTGAGCTTATAACTCGATTTTGAAAGTTGACTTTGATTAGGTATGATTTTCCAAAACAGGTCGGCTTTGTGGTAGGTACCTACCTCCTCTCTTCCAATTACAAAGTTTTTTTTTTTTTTTTTTTTTTTTTTTTTTGTGGTACACATTAGGATACATATATGTCGGATGTGTCTTATGTGCACATGTACAAATGCAAAAATACGTAACATTAGTGAATTGGAGCATCACTCTATCGAATTTGCATGATAATCATGTGAACGCGGTTTGCACGCGGTTGCGTTGATGAAAGCTCTTGGGATGCACTCTGTATGGGCATAAAGCTCTCTTCTCATAGAATAGTTCATCCTGCGTGGATGTTTTACAGATATCTAAATTCATTTCCATCAATTTCAATAAACATATGTCTTCACTATACCATATCATGAACTCTGTTTTCCGATAAATACTCATCATCTGATTGAACAAAAACCTATGAAGTATAAACGTGAAAAGGTTATTATAAAAAAGAAAAAACAAAACAAAAATGCATTGAATATGTATGTTAGCCATATTTTTTTTTTAAATCAACTGGACTGGAGCAGTTTTGATAAAATGAAGGGATCTTCAAAACGGATTAAGTTGCAGAAGTTCTTAAGACCATGAGATATCCTATAGTAACGAAGCTTTGTGACAACACTGCATAAGAAATGTCCCCAATTGACTACTAGCTAAAGTAAAAATTGGACATAAAACAAAAATTTTATGCAGAGATTATTTATAGAGAGTTTTTTGATATTCAGATATCCACAAAGTTGTGATTGGATTGTGGCATCCCCTGACAAATGGGTCCATATGAAAAAGCAAAAGAAAAAGTTTTAAGTTTCAATAAACATTCTTTGTGTGAACAGTCAGTCGGCTTAAACGTTCATATAACTTTTTCAGCGTATGCACGCTAAGGGAATTGTAATTCCAATTATAATTTTATTATTAAAATTTAAAGATGTTTGTTTTCCTTGCCCAAGTTAAAGAAGATCTGATATAATGTCGTCCTCTATACCATCTCTCGAAATGATTTCAATCTTTTCATTGTTTAAACATTTTTTCCAGTAATTTACGCTTATCCGTGTAAATGCAAGAATTTTTAACTGGAAAAAAGCCTCAAGCATGTACCATATTATCGATGAATCCGTATGTAAGGCGAATATTTTGAAACCATTAAAAAGTATAATGTATATAAGAAGAAGGGTTGGCTTCATTTTCTCTCCGCACAATACATATGTATGCATATGTACACACAATATATACAAACAGAGAATCTATAATTTTACCGAAAATACAAAAAAATATTCTAATTGGAAATCCAATACGTTCTATAGAATTATATTTCCCTTTATTATGAAAAGACTACATGTTCACAGTCGGTTGTGCAGTGGTGGTGATGGTGATGGTGATGGTGATGGTAATGGTGGTGGTGGTGGTGGTGGTGGTGGTTTCAGATTAGTGGTATAAATTGTGTAGGAAAGGCACGCATACGTACAGCTCATTTGAAGTCATTAACCCCTAAATAGTCTATTGAACATGCGTGACTTCTTTTAACTTTGTTCGCTTAAAAACTTTTGAAGAATGCACAACACAAGTGTATTCTATTGATTTTGGTTTATTCAACTATATTTCCCTAGAGTATGCTTAGTATAATCTTGTACTTGTAATGCGATTGCTAATCTTTTCATTCATTTTTCGCAGAGATTTCGATTTTCAGATTTAAATTGTTTACCTTCAATTCCGACTTTCAACCTTGTTCAACCTTGAAGTTCAAGTTTGAAGAATTATCTCCTTATCTCTTATGGTCATGTTAGATACATCCCGGATTTTTTTATTTTTTAAATGATTTTACAACCATACAACATCGAGCCAACTATTCTGGACATTTGCATATTGTGCCCGCAAATCCATTATCACTATTAGAGCAGCATGATGTAAGGAACGGGTTCTGACCAATTAATCTTTTAAAAAAAAATTACTCGTCATACAAAGGCGTATTTTTTGTATTTTCCCAGTAAGTATATCGTCCTGAAATAAATAAAAAAACCAAAAAAATACATTACACACACAAATATACATTAACAGATATCTTTCGACCCGGCTAGGTTCCAGGTATGGATGTATTAAAAAAGTTTTATTAAGAAACACTCATGTTGCAAATTGAATTGTAGTTGAATGTTCAGAAATAGTTAATGTGGTCGGAAAATATTATATCCCTACTTAAGGGATTGACTAAGTAAGCTTCCTGTATCAATTGTTTGTGGACAACGAAATTTAATTCTTTTAAGATGGCGAACGCAATATGAAATCGTCATGTGATGTCAATTATATTCCATTATGAGATCGACAGCTAAAAACTACGGTGCGAAATCTGTCCTTTATGCAGACAACTGAATGAATTTACTGACTCATCCAATTTCAATGCTTAGTCTCATCTCTCGATGGCAGCGACAATTCGACTGGATCCACGACCAGGAATCAATCAAACAGTATTAGATGAAAGTGTCTGTACTTCATATAAAACATCAATGGCAACGTCTAGACTTGTGCAATCGCATGTTGGAAGCTCCTTATTTTCATTTTGTTTTCACGTGTGTGTTATCTGTTGTCTTCAAAATGAAATGATTGTAGTTTATCGCCTATTATGAAAACACAGTGGGAGAGATTTTTAAACTAAGCAACATAAGTTAATGTTTTATTTTATTGTATTTTTCAAAGCCCACTATTATTATGAATAATAAAGACAAGTGTTGTGGGGCGCACATGAGCAGATGAATAAGTCATTTGTAATAGAAAGAAAGATGAAAAAATAGAAACAAATTGTATTTAAAATCCATTTTTAGAACTCCTAACAGTATACATATAAATTTTACATTACAAATGCCACTTTACTAATTCAATAAAATAAATGTAGTATTGGTCAGCTTCTGATAACAGTGCACTTCTCTCCATATATCCAAACGGCGTCCTGTGTTTGTTATTGGAATTGACGAAATTTAAAAAAATTAAATATTAATCAGAAATTTTATGTAATATCTTGATCGATTCACCAGCTATGCAAGTAATCCATTTAAAAAAGGTCAGACTTTTTTAAATCAATTGTTGAAGTATGGAGGCAAAGGTATGGCTTTGCAAATTTTTTTTGTCGTAAAACTCAAAAATGAACATCGAAGACTTCATGACGATTAGCATGCAATTCCGATTCGCTTTGCCCACCTCTCTGTCTGTACGTTGGAGCTTCTACGGTCGCAAAAGTACATATAAAAAATTGAAACTCGCCGTTTACGTTCATATAAAGAGAAATTTTACAAATAAGCGTGATGCGATCTCTCCGCCGAAGGGCTCATCGAATGCAATGAAATATTAACTGGGCTGAACCTAAATTAACCTAACCTTGAACCTAAATTAAAAACAAGAAAAAAGATTATAGTCGGGGCAAGGCCGGCCGGCCATTAAATATCCTACACCGCTTCGTCTCACTCAATTACTCAGTCACATTACACCAATAATTACACATCATTTTCAAGCAAAG